ACTTAACTACTAGATATTCTTATGTCTTTACTATTAACTGGAGTTGTTTTGAATTTTTCTTAAGTGATGTTATTTTATCTAGTGAACTAAGATATTGAAATCTGGAGTTAAAATCTTTAACATAAGTCATATTTTAATGTAGTAAAGGAGTTACTTGAGGACAAATAACATTTAAGTTTGGGCGATTTTGATACACCAAAAATATAAGAATTTATATATCCATATTTTATACTCATTTTTGGTCATATTGCATTTTAATGGAAGGTATTTTCTATGTTTTATTGCAGGTTGTTGATTTTTAGGACTTGAAGCAAAAAGGAAGCAAAAATGATAAAATTTGGAGTAAAAATGGAGAAGTTAAAAATTTACTCAGCATCGACGGCGCTAGATTGGGCGCTGACGGTGCTGTTTCACAGAGACTCGGATTTAATTAAATGGCCTCGAGCACCGACAGTGCCAGTGTCGGTGGAAGCCCTATTTCTAGAAGATTCGACAAATTTGGACGCCTTTTGATATATTCTTAGATGCACATATTGGAGAACCGACCTAGGCTCTATTTAGGGCCAAAATTTGATCAAAACCCCCCCACCCTTTCGCACCATTTCAAAATCCTCCACTCATTTCATTTTTCCTCTTCACACACCTACATTCCACGTCATTCCACACCATTAGTTGGTTATTGTTTTTATAGTTTATAGTATAGTTATGATTTTTTGTGGTGAGTTTAAGTGTGAATTCTTCTTTAATAAGTGTTGGAGAGGAAGAGAAGTGAGAGATTTCATCTTCCTACATTTTCTAAGAGAGGCTACAGAGGATTTGCTTTGAGAAAGAGTTTCAAATAAGTGTTGTTTGTTTATTATTGTTGGATGAACTTTCTTTTATATATGAAATTTTTGTTTTGTTGTATCTTTCTCTAAAAGTATGAGAAGATTTCTTTATCTTTCTCTCTACTCTGAGATATGGTGAAATTAAGAGATAATGTGGATGTGCCAATGTTAAAATTTAAAATAAAATATGATGGTTTTTCAACTCCGCTCTTAATTTACTTTTCAATCTGGCCAATTGAATTGTTAAAATATGTTGTGAAACATATGATCCGGGAAATGGAGTATGAGTTCTACAACATAGTGAGAATTACTTTTAAGTTCATGAAGGAGTTTTTCGTTGATGAAATTAAGTGCAAATAAATAGGGAAATATACTTTGTTGGGTTTAGAATTAGAGATTACTAGGGTGACAGATTAAAAATCTCAATTAGATCTTATTGTTTAAAACTTAAAGCAAGAGTTAGCCTTCAGGGGAAGGGAAGTGGGAGCTCTGGAGTGAGAGCAAGTATCCTCCTAGCCTAGCCACGGATTTAGGAACTAAACCTAAGATTAACCAATGATTTTGTATAACACTGAATCAGTAGAGAATTAAAATTGCTCCTATTTGGTAAAATACATATCTGAATAAACTTATCCTATCTCATTTCACCAAAGACTCATTGTAGTGGGAAAGATGTTTTTACATATTAAAAAGCTTCATCACATAAACATAGTTTAGTAGTTATTAATTTTAAACTCTGCTTTTAAATTCTCTCAAATTCTACTATTTTAGTGGTTAGTTGAAGTGGAGGAATGCTTCAAGCATAAACTTATCAGTTAGACTGAAAGGAAAATTTTATAAGTGGTGGAGAGACCTTCAATTCTCTATGGAGCAGAATGTTGGCCTTTAAAAGAGAAGCATAAAATTAAGTTAAGTGTTGCCGAGATGAGAATGCATAGGTGGATGATTTGCTTGACACTTAGAGACAAAATGCGAAATGAACATGTGTGATAGGCTTGTTGTAGCTTCTATGGCAGACAAAATTAGAGAGACTCATCTTAGATGTTTTGGTCACATTAAACATCGACCATCTGATGATCCAGTTATGAGAGTGGATGTTTTCAATTTGACTTACATTAAGAAAGACAGAGGTAGATTTAGAAGGACTTGAGCATATTGAATAAAAAATGATCTTAATTTATTAGATTTATATGAAAATATGACATTCAATAGGATGGAATGGAGAAAAAGAATTCATGTAGCCGATCTCACGCAGTGGGATGAAGGCTTGTTGTTGTTGTTGTATATTGAAGCTCCTCTTTTCATTTATTATTGAGTAGATTGTATTTTCTTGCCTATTTGTTATAACCAAAGCTGCTTTGATTATGAAATAGCTTGAAAATATTGAACTAGGAGCTTCCTTTGAGTTTCAATTTCCATAACATTTGAATTTGCCTTCTCAGCTTATATCCAAAATTGTTAGTACACAAACCCGTTTAAATACATTTTAAGCATCAACCGTGCAAATCTAATTATGTTTTCAATTTTGAAAATATGTTAGGAGAATTTTCATACATACCACAATTTTTATGTATATGTAGAACCTAGACTATATTATTTAATTTTATAACAATCAAATCATTTACATCATATCAAAAATATTATTTGAATGACTTTCTAAAGTCCAATACAAATTTTTATACATATTCTTTGATGCAATTATAGACTAAAATATTACATATATATGTCAAATTTTAGGTATTAAATGTGTTAAAACATAAAAGTTATGTGGCATACATGTAAATTTCCTTATGATTTTATGATAGTTTAGGCTAATGACATTAAAATAAAACTGCTAAATTGATTAAAATAATTCGAGGAAAATACATCACTAAATTTCAAATAAGCAAAATGTCTATAGTCGACCTCCCTTTTTTTGTTGCAATATTTTGTCTAATCGTGGACATTTATAGAAGTTTTGAACGGTTGGTATGTTCCAATTAAAGCGAACAAAATGCAATAAAATGGTAAAATTTTGGGATCCTCAAGCCATGAAAAGATAGCTTATGATAAGGTGTCGAGGTGACGTTGGCTAGTTGGAGAGGTGACAATAATTAGCAATCATTTTCCTCAAGATTATACAAGGTATGGTAATGTATTAAGACAATGAAGGAGCAAGTTCAGCCTAATTTATGCTGAAACGATTAACTGAGCTCAAGCTGGAAACATAATTAAATTTTGTAGCATTAAATAATTTACAGTCATCGTGAGGAGATTATTTCAACTATAATTATGCGTTTCTTTCAGAATAATTTTTTTAATTTTCTTCGATATATGTGATTTTGTTTGAAAATTTGCGGTCCATAACAAAACATAAAATGTTTAATACTATTAACGCCTAATTTGTTGTAATTGTTATATATTGTCGTATATACACTATATACGGGCGGAGTTACTGTAAGGGAATTAGGTGCCCAACACCCACTGGCCCGGACAGCTTCAACAACCTCTCACGCTCTGGCTCATAAGCCAAGTGTTATTTGGTTGCTGGATTTAAGTTAATTGTTGCCCAAAAAAATAAAACTAAAAAAAATTACATCTTGAAAATTTATAAGTTCTTAAATCACGTTTTTCCTCTGCATTGCATTAAATCTGCGATTTCGTAAGTCCGTTCAAATGTTGATTTATAAGATTAGGGCACGAAGTCGGGCGGGAGAAATGCTGGAGAAAAAAAGCGCTACCTTATTCAATGGTTTTTGGTAAGACTGGGACAGAAGGAGAAGGAGAACAGAGTGAGTTTTGAAGACTTTGCATGATGGCATTGTTGTCCTCCCAACAAATTCTAATCATAATTGAAACTTTTAAAAAATTTTTAAGATTTACTTAAATGCTATTTAAATTAAATAGTAATTCTTGCGAAAGAGCCAAACAGCTGCTAAAGATTATATTTTAAAATTTCTAGTTAATCTTCTCACTTAAAATAAAATTTATAAACTTAATTAGAAAATTTTGAGATATATA